TGAGCCGAGCTGAACTGAACTGAATTGAAAGCCATCAGGCGGAGAAGTTGGACAACCCAATGATTGCTAATGGAACTGCTGCCTTTGGCACTCTTTTAGCTCAGTTTCACTTTACAGCTGATCAAATGGGAAGGTGCTCAGACAGCCTGAGAAATATTTTTAGCTAGTCTGTATAGTTGTCTATATAGTTGCAAAATGAGTTGAATTTATAGAGAATAGTTAAAGTCTATTTAAAGTATCTAAGATAAGAGTTAATTCCGCATTCGAGGTCAAGTCTTAGCCACAAAAGATCTCTTAGGCGATTGGGAGAAAATAGTTCAGTTGTTAGCCCATTCTGAATTTGAAGTTGGGAGCGAAAACCCTCACTTCCAACTCTGAACTCTCCGTCAAATTTATGGCGTAAAAGAGTTTTAAATTCCAAAGGAAATAAATAATATTGTTAAATCAATGCATGAAATAACGTTGCAGTCGGGCATTACCAACTGAAGTATACTCATTTACGGCCAAAACGAGGCGTATGACAGGACGATTTTCGTATTGTCAATCGCCCATTTGATATATATATAGTCGTTCACAGCTTATTTCAACCAGCACCCCAAAAAAATTTTGCTGATCTATAAAATCTAAACTATTGGGGATATCAAAAAAAATTAAACGCAGGTTGTTAGTGTGATGTTTAAACTAAAAAAAAATTTTTTTAATATTTAAAATTGCTTAAAAACTAAAAAATGAGACCAAAACAGTTCCACAGCTTATTTCAACCACTTATGAAATAAAATTATTAAAGCTAAGGTTTTTTAAATAACAGAAAATTAATATTTTGTGTGACTGCCCTTTTGGTTAACTACCATTTTAAACCATTTTGGAATACATTCCACCAACTTTTTAATGACCTCTGCAGTAATATTATCCCATTCCTCATATATACATATATATTGAATTTTTGTGCAAATAGAGGATGTCAACTGTAATTAAATTATTATATTTTATTTGGCCAGCTCTAAAGCTCTAAAAAATATACATAGTTTTCCCCGATTTACAACTACCAAAATAAATGTAGATATATGCACCATATATTATTGATTCTGGATTGTTAACTCGAGTACATACTCGAAATTTCTGGCATATCAATACTGTGGTTTCTTGTGATTCGCCACGCCCCTAGTGGGCAGATGGGATAAATTGTGTTACTTTATATACTGTATCATTCTAGTATGTGTTCCAGATTTCAAGTTTTTTTTTTAAGATAAACATTGCCACGAACCAATATACTCATTTCACTTTCTTGAAATGGAAAAACATGCATAGCTAAATTAATTTGTTTCAACTATATTTCGAATAGAACCTCAGCTGAAAATCAATAAAACCAAACATGAGATTCTCGAAAATAATAATCTCTCATTTATTCTCTATCTCTCTCTCTATTTTGCCTTATTGAGACTTTCATTTAATGAGGCTCAAATGTCGAATCAACGAAAATTTTACATTTATCGACATAAGGGTATTATGCTTGTTTCTCACATTTCTCTTTACTGCATAACGATGTTTTCGATTTTTTTTTTTCTTTTTGTTGTTTTGCCTCGTCAATGAAATTTATTTGATTAATAATGGTTGAAATTGTGACATTTTATTGTGCGATTCATTGTAGTACGATTATTTGACTTAACGTTTGCAAAAATTAATTAAACCAAGTATAAACAATGGGAAAGCCACAGAGTTCAGCTGGTAGAGCTACATAAAGGAAGTCAACGCTTGTTCAACTCGGTTCAATTTCGATTTGTATCACGAATTGCCAAGGGGCTCGAAACAAAATTGCAATTGATAAGAGGTAAATTTGTATTTGCGCGGAAAAAATATTAATAAATTAATGAGAGGACTAAAACGTTGTCAATTTTTACGAATTAATCAATTTTGTTCAAAGGGTAAATACTTCGGGCTATGTATATATCTATGTAAATATTGCCATAGTCTGTAATAAAATGGTTAATTAAAAAGAATTCAATAAAAAATAATTTAATAAATAATAATTACATTGTGAGATTCGATTGAATTCATTAATTCCAGCGAAAGCAATATCTAACGGTAGCTTAACACATTTCGCTTAGTAAAAAGTTTCGAAACGAAACTGCAATTTATAAGAGATTCAATTGTATTTATGTGGAAACAATTTGATGACTCAATGAGAGAAACGAAGTGCATTGAATTTTTAGAGGACAGCGCGTTTTACGAACTGTTCATTGTCCACTTAGCGAGGGGAAAATAATTGCTATATGTACACATACATATATAGTAATTGTATTGGCATCAGCATTTATATATGTATTCGCCAAAGAACAAAATTGCAATTGATAAGAGGTAAATTTGTAATGAATTAATGAGAGGACCAAAAGGTTGAAATTCAATTTCAATGCCTTGCGCTTCTATGTGGATGTGAATGTGTGTGATATATATATATTTTGATGCAATACTATGCTCCCAACGGGATAACCTTATACCCGGATTTCCCGTTTTCAATGGCTTCAGCGTATAAAAAGTATATTCGTTTATTGCAAAGTCCGTCTTGCCGTCCATCCGTCTGCCTGGCTGCTCATCTGTCCGTATGAATGCCAACTATTTCGATGCTGGAGACTTGAAATGTGGAGCACATACGCGTATACCCTCGCCAGACAGCACTGACAAAAAATATGATGTGAGCTAATGAACGGTGAAATTATGATAAAAAATTGACAAAAATTGACAATCAAATTTGTGAAGTCCAATTGCAAAATCCTCGTGCATGTACCAACTAAATTAATTCACTTTCAATGGATCCAGGGTATAAAGCAAAGCATCACACAGTCGGTAGCGTCCAGCTGCACCGTTATTTCTTGTTATTATAAATTTGATAAATATTCTCACAGTGAGTACAGAAAATCGAACTGTTTTGATTTACCGCTTGTCTAAACATTTTATTTTTAGAGTCTCAGAAAAGACATCAAAAAATGTGTGCAAGCTAGTTAGCAATTAATTAATTAAAATTAATRATTTCAAGCAGGATTATGCGCCAATGAAAGGCTGTAGAGTTAGCTTTTCAACGCGCTTAAATAGTCTCGGTTAATCCAAAAACAACAGGCGAAAAACAATCGAATGCGTTTCCATTGTAACTAGCAGAACGCGTTAAGCTGCCTGCGCAATTAAAGATAGGATAGGTAAAAAAAACACGTTTAAATACGTTGCATAGTGGGATGTAACTGGCCGTTTGATGTTCGTTTAGGGCTAAGAAACAGTTAAGTTAGGTCAAAAGACGCTATATGTATTGGGATTTGTCATGCCTCTCATCGGGCGAAGGTCTACGTGTCTATTAAAGCTGGTAATCTACCTGCTAAATCTGAAGATCTTTCGGCGTAAAGCTAGCAAATATTCTATATATTGTAAGTGTCTATTAAAGCTGGTAATCTACTTGTTAAATCTGGAGATTTTTCGGTATAAAGTTATAAAATATTATTTCCGCTTATAGCTGTACAATATTCTATATATCCTACGGGCCTATCAGAGCTGTAAGTTTCTCTGTTAGATCTGGAGATTCTTCTGTATAAATCTATACAAGATTCTATTTATATGGGTCTGTCATTATAAACATTCCCATATGCCCTCATTTAACAGAATTGTCTATAAGGTCGAATGTAGGCCAGACATTTTGTAAATTTTGATGATCTACCTCTAAAATAGCATAAAATATGTTGGGTTTGTCAAATAATTAAAGATATAGTTTTGTATGCCGTTTATTGCATGTCAAATTGAAGACTAAGCAGAGTGTTCGTATATCTGTGGGGCTTAAAGTCTTAGCCTCAATAGCTCTTGAAATGACCTTGAATATATACGAATTCCGATTGGCTACGATCACATTGGATCCACCCAAAGTATCATAGCAGTTTCAGGAACAATACACGCATATCTTTGACAAATTTCAAAGTCCATTCATACGTCCAGCTGGACGGACCAATATACCCAGTCCCGTGCGTGAGCGTGAATAAAAACCCATCAATTTGTTGGGAGTGACCGAGGAGCTGTGTCCGTTAGTTGCCGCACCACATCCGCATCCGCATCCACATCCGCATCCACATCGCCCACATTGCCGTTTGGTACATCTATGTGCGGTTTTGTTGGTGCCAGCGCTGAGCTGCAATTCAGGCAAAGGACACTCGAGCCAAGGGCGAGGGCTGCCTGGGGCTGGGCGGGTGGTCTGAATTAGAGAGGTGAGGCTACAAGAGCCCTTTCATTAACATTTTTTTTTTTTGGGTTTTTGGCTTTTTGGGTTTTTTTCTGGCATGCAACATAATTCAATTTGGTGGCTGTTCGTTTTGTATTAATGCAGTGCACGCATCGTGTGTTGGCTAGCGTGGTGTCAGCTCGAATATCGTAAATTGGAATAGCTTAGCAGCTGCTATACTATTCACTTAATTAGAAAGTATTGGCATTAGTCTTTTGGGCCAGCGAAAGTCCAATTCGAATTGCATGCAATATTTTGTGGTGTTTTTTTTTTTTTTTTTTTGTGAGTTGTTGTCTTTTGTTTCGTTTTTGGGAAATGTTTTGGCTGGCTGTAAACAACTTGTGGTCTAAATATTACGTATACGTCGCGTTGCCGGCTGCTGCTGCTCTGCTGCTGCTGTTAGCGCTGTTAACGCTTACTGTTGTACACGGTGCGCATGCCAGGGAAATTTTAACAGAGCCCACAAGGGAAATTCTTGTGCCGCAGCAGCGACAGCATCAACATCAGCAGCAGCAGCAGCAGCAGCAGCATCGCCAGCAGCAGCAGCAACCATTGCAGGACAGTATGAAACAGGACTCAGCGCAGACGGCACGCGTTTCGCTTTGAGGAGAACCAAACGCGAGAGTCGCAGCAGTCGCAGCAATTGCTGTTGTCGTAGTCGCAGTCGCAGTTGTTGTCTCGTCTCCGTGGCCGTGTCTCTGTGTCTGCCTGTCTGCCTGCCTGCGTGCGTGCGTGTGTGTGTGTGTGCGGGAGTGCGTGTCTGTGTGTGCGAGTGTGCGTACCTCTCAATCTATGTGTGCGTGTGCCTGTGTGTGTGTGCTAGTCGCGCATGTGACTGCCAGCTGCGTTCGTTTAGTGAGTTTGAATGAATGAATGCTGCCGCCGTCATTGCTGCTGCTGCTGTCGCTGCGAAAGTGGCAACAGCAGCAACTGCAATGGCCAGCCAACCAGCTGATAACAATAATAATATTAATGACAAGAATCATAATAGTTAGCAATGGTAGCCAGAAAGCACAACCCGCTAAGGCTTGGACATTGACGGCGCTTAACGCCTGCCAAAAACGCACAAAAAACGCACGAAACGAAAAAAGAAAAACGCGCACAAAACGCTTACATAAGTTTTGTGTGTGTGCGCTGATGATGGTGATGTTATTGCTGCTGCTGCTCTGGCTATGTGCAGCAGCAATAATCAGCCTGCAAGTGCCGCCTAAAGAAACCAGCAACAACAACAACAACAACAATAGAAGAAGAAGGAAACGCTACTTCATAAAAAAAATGAATTCTTAAAATTGTGAGGCGAAAAAAGGCGCGCAGCTTTTGGCAATTGTTATGGCAGTTGTTGTTGTTGTTGTTGGTGCTGTTGTTGTTGTTGTTGGCTTTGCGTTAAAGCATCGTCTGATTGCCACGAACATTTTCGTTGCCTACTTTGTGGCGCGCGCGCGTTTCTTGGCATTGTTTGTTGTTGTTGTTGTTGCTGCTGCTGCTGCTACTGCTGCTATTGCTGCTGCTTCTGCTGCTGAGCTGCAAAATTGTTACACGGTCATTGCGGAGGTCGCGCTAACAAAGCTGCCAAGGCAAAGATAAAGAGCAACAACAACAACAACAACAGYAGCAACAACAATTCATGGCGACAATTGCGAGTCAGGAAATTTAAGTTGCAAAAATTTCATAACCGAATTGCAGCTGCAGCTGCAACAACAGCAACTGCATTTCAAGCCAATTAACTTTTGTTAATTATGAATATCAATTAATTCGATCAACTTGTTGCTATTTAAATCGAATTGTGAAACATCTTTTCGGACGGCTCTTTTAGTGTTTACCCATGTTTAATTCATTTCGATTTCGGTCTGTTTGTAGCAACAATAACAGCCAAATAGACAATAGACTGGGTGAGTGCGAGTGTGAGAGTGAGAGAGAAAGAGTGAGTGAGCAAGCGAAACGCATTACACAGAAAAGTTTCAAAGTGTTAAGAAGAAGAATCGACTTTTCAAATCTTCGAGTGAATTGTTTCTGTATATTGTTGTTGTTTTTTTTTTCGCCATCCGGGCAAAGTTTGTTGCTAATTTTTTTTCGTTTTTTGTTCTGTTTGCAAACTATGATAAAAAGCAAATCAAGAAAAATATAAAAGAAATTGAAATAATCAAATTGTGCACAATAAATTTTTGAAGAATTCAACTAAAGGAATGAAAAACTAAATGCAAATAAGCAGGCGAGAAAAACGAGAACGTAAACGAAAACGAAGACAAAAACAAAAACAAAAACAAGCAACAGCGAATGCAAACATAAAACGAACAGAGAAACAACAATTGAAGTTAAGGAAACGGAAGCGAGTTTTTCTTTTGGCGGCGTTGTTGTTGTTGTCTCCCGTGACAGCAGCCAAGGTAAGGCTCAAAATGCAAATTGAAGACGAACATGCATACATTGTATATTATTATATTATTATAAGCAACATAAGCCATTTAATACTTTAAGTTTTGTTTTTATTCAACTCGGGCTGGTTGACATTTGGGAAATCTCAGGATTCGAATGGAGATTACGAATATACAAGTATTGTATTGGGTTCAGTCTAGTGCCGAAAATGGTTGATTGACAGGCGAGCTTGAAAAAGTTCTTTCGAATTTCATTTAAGAAGCTGAAAGATTAAATAAGATTATCTATTTCAAAATGAATATCTGAAGTAAGACATTTTTCACTCTGGTTATTCCCTTTTAAAATTAAAATCAAGTAAAAACGTCGCAGCTGGGCGTTATCGACTGCAGATTACTCATTCATGGCCCAATTTCTATCTATTTTCCGATTTGCCACGCGCCCTATTGATACACGTATATTATAGAAAGTTAACAGTTATGTAGCCATTTTAAATTTCCAGCTCTAAAACTGATCGAAAAGTACAGTTGTTCCCTATTTGCCACGCCCTCAATGGGCTTAGGCATATAATCGACATATCTATGTGATTTCGGGCTGTTAGCCCAAGGAAAATAATTTATCTAAATTAAATGCATTTTATTTTTTGCCACGCCCATAGTGGGCGTCTTGAGGAAATCTTGTGACTTAATCAAACGATTGTATATGGGAGTATATGTTCCAAATTCCAAATCTCTACTGAAGAATATAATCGTAAAGCTTTGTAGGTGGTAGGACATTGCACAAAACCAATATACCCGTTTTACTTTCGTGAATGAGTATAAAAAGAGATTTGCAGCTGATGAGCTGGCACAAGTTGGACCGAGCGATTTGGCGAGGCTGTGCAGAGCAGCGGTTTAGTTAATTACAAAGTTTTACTTTATGTTTTTACAATGAATTTGGCTGAGCATAATTAGCATATTCAGTTAACTGACAACTGAATTTTTGAATAATAAATAAGTTCTCTTAATATTTCAACACCTCMAGTATGTATGTATAAGGGAAGAGCAATTTCTGTATTCTGATGTGAATATCTCGAAGCTGCTGTAATAAGGACATTCCAAGTATTCCTGGGCCGTTTCTAAGAAATGGTTAATAACTGTAAATATAATTAATTTTTTTTACAAACTGATCAGATTTCAGAGAACTTTTGCAAAGTAAGTTGAATTAATAAATGAAGGCGGAAGGACATGAAAAATTTCAATATATTGCTTTATTATTATTATTATTATTTTGTATACCCTGAACCCATTGAAAATGGGCAATCAGGGTATAATGGTTTTCTTC